AGGTTAGGCTTTCTTCCTTTGTAAAGTTCATAGGGCGTTTTCTTGAGTATCGGTCTAATGACGGCTCGATTTAACACGTAGCACGCGGTACTCACGGCATCCGCCCAAAAGTATTTAGGAAGGTTTGCCTCATTGAGCATAGTTCTAGCCATCTCTTCAAGAGACCTATTTTTCCGTTCAACCACGCCATTTTGTTGTGGTGTATGGGGGGCTGAAAAATTATGCTCAATGCCTAATTCGTCACAAACGACATCAAAGCCGTCTTGATCAAATTCTCCCCCATGATCACTTCTAATGGATGCAATGTGAGAGTCTTTTTCATTTTGAACCAATTTAATGAATTTCTTGAAAGCATTAAGTGCATCATACTTGTGAGCAAGAAAGAGTGTCCATGTAAACCTCGAATAGTCATCAACGATAACAAAGCCAAAGTAATTACCTCCTAAACTCATAGTTCTTGAAGGTCCAAAAATGTCCATGTGCAAAAGTTGTAATGGCCTAGTCGTAGAAACAACGTTCTTTGACTTAAACGAGGCCCTTACTTGCTTCCCCTTTTGACAGGCATCACAAATTAGATTCTTCTCAAACTTAAGTTTAGGAACACCAATTACTAAGTCTTTTGAAACCAATTTATTAAGATGGTCCATATTAACGTGAGCTATCCGACGATGCCATAGCCATGTTTCTTCCTCTTTGGTAATGAGACACTTAGCTAAAGTAGACGGGGAATTTTCAAGATCAAACATGTAAATGTTATCTACTCTACTACCACAAAGAATAGTCTTATTATCACACAAGCGTTCTACAATGCATTTTCTAGAATCAAAGATGACACGGTTACCCTTTTCACACAATTGGCTAATGCTAAGAAGATTGTGCTTGAGGCCCTCAACAAGAAGAACGTTCTCAACGGTTGTAGCATTGTCATTTCCGACGCTGCCACTTCCAATGATTCTTCCTTTGTTGTTGTCACCAAAAACGACATTGCCACCTTTAAAATACTCTAAACTCCTAAATTTGGATGCGTCTCCGGTCATGTGCTTGGAGCATCCGCTATCGAGATACCAAGAGGTACTCGAAGCCTTCAAGCACACCTACAAAAGATATCAAGGAGACGGTTTAGGTACCCATGTATTGTTGGGTCCTTTTTGGTTAGCATATGTGCGATGTGTGTGCGTTTGTTGAAAATGCCTAATTTTGGTGAAGCACACGGGTGCAATGTGACCTATCTTATTGCAATAGTGGCAAATAATATTTTGATTATTCATCCTATATGGTTGAGTGTAATGAGTTCTAGGTTTGCTAGGATGTGCTTTTCTAGTTTGATTATTTATCCTAGCATTTTTATTCCCCCTAGCTTTAACAAATGTTGTTTTTCTAGGTTGGTTTTTCTTATATCCAAGTCCTTCACCATTACTAACTTTTTGCTTAAGTATTTTATCTAAGGTGTTTGAAGCATTATTGAACTTTCCCAATTTGCTCTCTAAACTAATAACCTTAGCTTTTAGTGATGTACAACTAGAGCATGTAGAAGAAGAAGTAGTTGAAGGTTCTTGTGGCCTTTTTCCAAAAGTGATAATTTCTTGTTTAAGTTTGTCATTTATATTTTTGAGTTCTTTGATTTCATTCTCAAAAATCAGGATTTTTTGCTTTATTTCATTGTTTTCTTTGGAAGCCTTTTTGAACATTCTTACCAAATCTTCTACAATGCAAACAACATCATTAAGAGTTAAAGGATCATTGGGAGAAGGTTCTTGATCACTTACCTCTTTTGATGTATCACTATCTTCAATGGCCATGAGACACAATTTGGCCACTTCCTCCGTTTCCGAGTCTTCACTCCCAGAGCCGTCGTTCTCCCAAGAAATGTAAGCACATTGCTTCTTCGGTGCCCTCTTGCCCTTCTCGTTCTTGAGCTTTGGGCACATTGGTTTGATGTGTCCAATTTCACCACACCCATAGCATTTGGGTGGAGTGTTCTTCTTGGCTCCCTTCTTTAGCATCATCTTCTTGAATTTTCGGACAAAGAGTCCGAGGTCGGTGTCGTCGATGTCATCATCTTCATCATCAATGTTGTTGTGGGTTGATGTTGTTGCGGGTAGAGCAATAAACCTTTTGTTCCTTTCTTCAACCACCTTTGAGAGTTGGGTGGTTTCGTAGGTAATAAGATTACTTCGAAGAGCATCATAGGTCGTTGTTTGGAAGTCACGACCTTCTTCGATTGCGTCCACCTTTGAACGCCATTTAGGGGATAGGCTTCGCCGCACCTTTCTCACGAGCTCTCGGTCGGTGTATGTCTTCCCGAGAAGATTGAGAGGATTGATGATGTTAGAGAATCTCTCAAACATTTCCTTAATCTTCTCATTTTCCTTCATTGAAAAGAGTTCATACTCGTGAGTGAGATGGTCAATTTTGGCCTCCCGAACCTGCGCGGTTCCTTCGTAGGTGACCTCCAATTTTTCCCACATTTGTTTTGCGGTTTCATACCAGGGTACATAGCAGCACGACAGGTCTACGGACCTACGTATGGTGCAGAATACACAGTTTCAAGCAATTACTATAAGCATTTCGAGATGAATCATGTAATGGAGGCCTTCATCATACTTCCTGGAGGGATTGATACTATGGAAGGTTTGTTCACTTTGATCTCTTGAATATTGACGGTTATTTTAATAACCTAATAAAATTTCTAGATGACGCAGTGAGGCAGAACTTCATGGCTTCTAGTCAGAGAAAATTTTTCATCTCTTCTTTCTTTATTGATGAGCTTTTAGACAAGCTAGCGTTTGCTAAAGCTTTTCCGGGTCCTGGGGCTAGTTATGACGAATTTGTAAATTCTGGGGCATTGGACTTAGACTTGCATTTGTAATATTACTTTATGTAATTTCAGTTGAATTTATGTTGGAATAATATTGTCCATGAACATTATGAGTTAACCATAAGTATTATTCTAAGCTGCATGGCCAGTGCAAGTCAGAAAAATATCTATTTTCAACATCAGAATGCATCATGTAAATATCAAACATTTTCTCAAGATGGGTCAAATGAAGGATTTCATTATACAATGGTTTCAACACACATAGGTTCAAGAAAATACGAATATTCTTGAGATTCAAATTGAAAGATAATTTCTGTTAAACAAATGTGCAACTCTAGAGGGGGGGTGAATAGAGTTGTTTTCAAGAATGTGTGTTTTTCGCGTGTGTGAAATAATAAAATCGCAGGAATAAATAAAGAGAGTAAGGGAAAGAAGAACATCGAGATTTATACTGGTTCACCACCTCGTGGCTAGTCCAGTCCTCCGAGAGACTCCCTCGAAAGTCCTACTAATCTTCAAGCTTCAACGGGTGCTTGAAAAACCGGTACAACTTGAGAACTTGAATCACACAAGCCTCACTTTCTTACAACAACAAGACTTGAGTCACACAAGTCTTAAGAACAACACTCAAATTTGATTGAGTTTACAACACAAGAATGAAAGCTCACACAATTGAGCAAAGTAGTGTTGAAGAATTAAAGCTCTATGGATGACAACTTCTTAAGCACTCAAAGAAAATATTTCTAACTCTCAAAAATAATATTTTGATGAGGAAGATAAAGCAAAGGATGAATATAGCTCAAAGAATATTTTGGAGTGCAAGAGATGTGTGTGGAAATGAAGGAGAATGAGGGATTAAATAGGCTAAGGAAAAAAAGATCCGTTGGAGCCATTGAAAAGAACTAAGAATAGGCACCAGACAGAATTAATCGATTAAATTAGGGACTTTAATCGATTAAAGTGTACAGAAGCGAAAAGGCTTGAATGCAAAGGTGGAATTAATCGATTAAAAAAGAGAGAAAAATCGATTACCTTGCTCTGTTTAAACTAATCGATTAAATGGACAAATTTAATCGATTGAGTCTATTGGCCTGGGAAATCCAGCGCTGAGAAATTGGATCTAATCGATTATTTTAGATAAATTAATCGATTAAAGTGAAAAAATAATGCGCAAACATGAAGGGCCCAAGCCAAGTGCGATTGGAAGCCTTTGGCTTCTAACTCGTTGTTTGGGACAATGGGAATATCAACGGACGCTCCTCCTATTCAATGAATTTGAGTAGGGGAGAGAAAAAGAGTCCAAAAATTATTTTGTGTGTCAAACGATGTACACGAAAAATATTTAAATTTTATTTTTCTTACCAAAAAAAATTGTGTAATCTTAAAAAAATGTTTTAAAGAAATTTTGACACACTTATTTTGAAACTGACTCACTAAAATATTTTAGACAGAGGAAAAGGTAATTTTTCAACTGACTCAAAAATAATTATTTTTATCCCTCAGAAATTAATTCGTTTGTGTAGAAAATATTGTCATCCTTACAAAGATTCCTAGACTTAATAAAAAATAAAAAAGTCTTCGGAGTCTTCACTTCACTTCAAAAAAATCTGCGTAGGGGTGATCGTCGATTTTTATCGTCGTAAACTTCTTGATACCCTTCTTTGCTTTTCTCGATACGAAAATAAATTTTCGATCAGCTTGAAATTAATCATCCTGTTTGTCATTCATCAAAACAAAAAAATATTCCAGAAGAAATAGTAAAGGGGTTTGAACTCATGTCCAACAGATCCCACAAAGAAATATACCTGTCTCGTTTTAGTGCAGGGGATCGATCCTGGGTAGGTGATCGATCCGCCGTACTAAACTCTGGTTATGCGAGAACTCCAGGTGACGGATTCAAAAGTGCTGATCGATCCACCAAAAAAGCACTTAACATGTGATTAAATTTAAAAGCCCAGATGATCGATCCATGATGAGTGATTGATCCGCCAAAGAAATACTTTGAGTCCAGTTTTAATTTCAGCCTCCAGGTGATCGATCCAGTAAAGATGATCGATCCACCGAAGAAATTCGTGGAGCCCAAATTTATTTTCAACCTCCAAGTGATCGATCCAATGGTAGGGATCGATCCCCTCTGTTCCAGCTTTGAAAAATATCTTTAAAATTTGATTTTGTTGCTCTTGATGAAGCTCGAAACCCAAAACATAAAAAACAGATCTTGCAAAAAAGATTTATTGTGCCTCCGACGGTCAAGTTAGTAAAGTAAAATAAAAGAATGAATTAGTTCATAGAGATGTCCAAAATACCAAGTTTGTTCCGAATGTGGAAGAAACTCTCCCTACTAATGGGTTTTGTTAAAATGTTCACCAATTGATGTTTTGTTTCAACAAACTCAATTATGACATCTCTCTTTTAAATGTGATCTCGTATGAAGTGATGCCTAATTTCAATGTGTTTAGTTCGAGACTGAAGAACAGGGTTCTTCGTTAGACTAATAGCACTCATATTGTCACACCTAATTGGGATGTGATCAAGTACAAGGCCGAAGTCCACTAGTTGTTCATTTAACCAAAGAATCTGGGCACAACAACTTCCCGCAGCGACATATTCCGCTTCGGTGGTGGATAGTGCAACACTAACTTGTTTCTTGCGAAACCAAGAGACTAATGAGTGACCAAACAAGTGGCAAGTACCGCTGGTACTCTTCCTATCGAGTTTGCATCCAACAAAATTCGAGTCAGAATGGCCAACAAGATGATACGTCGAGCCTTTGAGATACCAATTCAAAGACCTACGTTCAACATACCAACGAGATATCACGTTATCCTCTCAATCGCAACCAAGTGTGATTCTTTAGGACAAGATTGATATCTAGCACACATACAAACGGAGTACATGATATCCGGTCTATTCGCGGTAAGGTAAAATAGAGATCCGATCATACCTCGATAGCGTTTAATGTCTACCTCTTTACCTTTATTATCCTTGTCGAGATAGCAAGAGGTGCTCATTGGTGTGTCAATGGATTTGGATTTGGTAACGTTGAATCGGTTTAACAATTCCCTACAATACTTCGTTTGACACACAAATGTACTTTAATGACGGGGGCGTTAAAATCGGGAAAAATGCCCCGACGTTATTGGTATTTTAGAAATCACTCTAAATAAGACTAAAACATAGAAAAAGTACCAAAATAGTAATTCTATGTTTTTATTTTTGAAATAGAAGTTCGCACTGTGGTAATGTGAAGGTAATGTGACACTGTACACGTGCACATTACTATATTTTTCGGTAATGTATGTGACCGGTAATGTAAATGCATTTTAAATCTTATTTCGGAATTAAAAACATAGAAATTCTATTTTGATATATTTTTAATATTTATTTTTATTTTAGTCTTTTTCTCTTGGTATTTTAGATGCTCTTTATGTTATTTTAGCAAACTAGCACAGACTTTGCAAGTATGTTACTCTATAGTCTATCCTTTTCAATAAGGAGAAATAAAATTTCTTCGGAAAATGCTACCCAAACATCCCCACCTTCTCCATCACCACAAAAAAGGTAAGAAAAATTCAAAAAAAAAATAAAAAATAAAAACAAAATAAAATGAGTGGTAAAGAGAAGGGTGGTGTGCATTTGGGGTACAACATTTGCTGTGCTAGCATATCCCAATTTCTTCTTACTACGTGCTCATTTATTTCCCTTTTTGCCTCTCCCACGGAACCAAACATAGGCTCACTTTTTCATACTCAGTACATTGAATAACGGAGGGTAGATGTTTTACTCCGGAAAAATGAAGCAATAAGGTTGTCATGCAAGAGTGTTAAAATATGAGCGCCAACCAGTTTCTGGAAATCCCCAAAGTGGAGTCAGATGCGCAGAACATCGGTAGGGAAGGCAACAAAGACGGTGATGATGTTCACACACACTCAGATACAGAGATTCAGCCTAGGAGCGAGCGAGAAGAAGCCCTTGTCGCTCTCATTGAACATCGCACCAAGGAGGTTCATAATCTCCAACAACGCATCTGTTACTATAAATCCCAGGTTTAGTTTCATTTGTATCATTACATCTGATGGATGATTTAGTTGCTTACTATATCCAATTCTTTGGAATTGATGTTCGATAACATTATATTTAAGAAATTGAGTGGACTTAAAAAAAATATTTGTTGAAGAAACTGTGGAGAACGGATATTTGGAGATATGGAAGTTGAATTGTAAATTGCAAAATTGAAAGATGCTTGACTTGAAGAAACTTTGTGCCCATTTGGAAAGGTAACCCAACGATTTTACTCTAGCTTTTTTAGTGTGAATTTTTACCACTAATAATATATTGCAAACACCAACTCTAATTACATAGGCTATTCCCAAATAATTCCTATAAGGAGAAGATGAAAGGGAACGCGATGAAGTTAGATACCTGGCTCCCAGCTATGTGTTGTCTAGCTCAACAAAAGAGCTCAAAGCAAGAAACTCATAATTGAAATGTTTTAGGATATTAAATCAATATTTCCAAAGAGTTGTGAGAGGGAAGATTCTAGAGAATTCTAGAAGTTGGTGCCTGGTGGAGATGTTTAGCATTCTCTAGAATGTTGTAGAATTTTCTAGAGAAGTGTGTAAGTCTCTAGAAGTGTGTGGAAGAATATAGAATCCTCTAGAATATTATAGAACTATGTAACAATGTGAAGTCCTCAAGATTTTTCTAGAACACATTATGGAAGCTTGTGGAGACTTTCTAGAGGATTCTAGAGATATAGAGATGCGTAGTGTATTCTAGAGAAGCCTAACCTTGGTGATAAGTTTAAATAGTGGCGTGGAGGACTCATTTGTGAATCAAGAACCAAGAAAGCTTCTTGAGAGTGCTTGTGAGTGAAGTGATCCCCACACAAAAAGTGAAATGAGCTACTTGTGTAATAAATTGTAATCTTTCTTGTACATTGTTTTATCGCGCCTTCTTTGTATTATTCTATTATTGAGTGTGCGTGAGCGTATTATTCTATTACAAGAGTTTGGTTGTGTGAATCAATTCCCCAACAAAAAGGAAATGAAGAGAACAATATTGATAACACGTGGGCCCAAAATGATTAGAAGTTTAGAGCTCAACCATAAAATTTTGAAATCTTGCTGCACTCTTCATTCTTTTTGGTCAGTTGAGCAAACCTTCATAATGTTCCTTTCACTTTAAAGTTTAAACAACCCTTGTCGTGGAGGTTAAACAGATTGGAATTAAAATTGGCCCACATGTCCACTAGTGGTTGTGGTGTGCGTCAGTGTATGGGTGGAGGTGTAGTTTGTTCATTTGAGTTATTTCTTATCTTGCCTGTGGCTAACAGAGAGGAAGAGTCCTTGACCGCTGTTTGTATTAAACTATTACTTCTCAAATATATCATTTATTATTGTTGGATGTAGTACCAATAGGTACCTTGCCTTACAAGTTACAACAATAGAGTTATAGCTTATGTGTTGATAAATTTATTTACATATGTGTTTGCATGCACACACATACACAAAATCCAAAATTTAACTTTTATTGATAACGGAGATATGGAATACCACTACAATCCGTTAATACAATATTAGTTAAGAGTTTAGGAAGAAGATTAAAGGATCAAATGATAACAAAATCTTTTAAACATATTCCTAGTTCT